TGCCTCGTTTTACGCACGTCTGGTTACAGTGCATTGAATAATGAACATCCTTTTGTGGTACCGCTATATTAGTAGAACAACGCAAACAGCACACTTCTAATTCAGGGAAACTACACAATTGAGGCAAATATTCAGACAGAGTCGCCATGCACAGACATGTACAATTTAATATTCAAACCCTTTTGTATTGTACACTTAGCGTTAGGATTAATTTACTACCAGTATGGGTTTTTAATACAATTATTTCAAAGCTCATCTTGTCTTATTTTTAGTGCACTATTTGACATTGGTAGGCAAAGGTAGGAAAGTAACCCATGAATCGTAGCGTTATTGCGCTGAATTGTGTACAGGCCTGGTCTGTTACTGCTGTTGCCGCCTCAGAGAGGCGCTTAAGATCGAGCTTCATGTCAGATGCTAAAATTAATCAGATCTTCTATCTCACTGAATGATGTAATGGGTTCTTTAAAGTGCCCATAAGACAAGTGTTTACAGTTGACTTCAGTTCAACTCATTATCTGAGGAGAGGTGATGTTAAGTCTGTTGTCAATGCCGTTGCCAGCTATTGGGACAGTTGGGACAGTCCCACACATTTTTTCTAATGGGTCCACAAAGAATGGGGTCCACTTTTTGAAAAACGGGTCCAGATTTCTCATATTTAGCCTATAATGGGTAAAATTTAAAGAAAATGGGTCTAGATTTTTCATATCTTTGCGTAAAATGGGTAAACTTTTAAGAAAATTTGTTCACATTATTTGAATTTACGCGTAAAGTGGGTCCACCCTGATATTGTCCTGCATTATTTGAAAATCTTGGGTACCGCATTGTCTGTAGCTACAGTAGCAGCACCCAGCCTTACCGCTCGACCACTTGTTGCACTTTGCATAAACAGAAAAAAGGGATTGAAAAATGAAAGAGTGAGAATAATAGAAAAAAAAAAAAAAACACCACAAAAAAACTAAATTAAGATGTAACCTAAAACTAACCAAGACCACGAACAGTAAAAACCATCACCACTGAACAGTTCACCAGCAATTTAAGGTGTAAGATAACTGACCAGTACATAATTCATAGTGTGCCATAATGTAGTAGTTATCTAGCTGCCTATGAAAAAATCTATGTTCAAAACATACGTCAGAGAAAAAAAAATCATCTATATAATTCTTATTTTGTGCATGGGCATAGGCTAGTGGCGGGGGGAGATGGGGGGTGGGGGAGGTGCCTTCGTATTCCTTCCCCTGCATTCAGCAAATTAGTGTCACCAAGTGGGTTAAAATTCTAGAAAGGACCTTTAAGTTTTTACTGAAATAGGGATTTAGTTCCACTTTCTCAATTTTGCAGCACCAAACAGTAACCAGCCTGCACCTCTAATGTGTATAGTTTCATTTGTGGACTTTTCTACAATGATCACAATATTAATTTCATCTCTTACCAGTAATAATAAATAATAATGACTACATGTTTTTATATAAAAAAACATAATAGGCTGGTTTTTACAACATTGTAATCTATTTAAAACCCCATAGCCCAGATGATCAACTTATAAAGTATGCATAATGTTAACACCCTTGTCAAGTGAATTGTGTAAATCTTATATAAACCGAACATAATGACATTTTCTGTATAAGACAGTTTAAAAGAAGCTCGAGTATACTGCCCTCCTACCTTCCTTTTCTGAATATATAAAGGAGGAAAATTAGTTTTAATTTTTGATGGTCAGTGAAGAGTAAATAAAAATTATAAAAGCCTGGAAAATATTATTTTATCATATATACTTTGTCAAGTTTTAAGGTTGATTGACAAGAGAATACATATTTTCAATCAAAATAGAAGGTTGATTGGCAGCAGTACATTATACTTGCATTTTAGACATTGTAAATTTATATTTCAGAATAAACATATTTCTAGTAGTTCATAAACATCAGATAAACAGATATTAATCATAGTTTTTAAATATGAACTTTACATAACCCTGAATTTTCATAATGATATTTTAGTCTTGTATTTCTATTTTTCATGAGGCAACATATTTACATCTCATTGGAATAATGTGACCTAATAGATACATAAATCAATTTCACTTATACTCATTATGAGCAGCTGACTCCAAAGAATGTATTGCAACATCTTTAATATTTCTCTTCTATTTGTTGAAATTAGCAATCATATTTTTCAGTCTAAATCGGGCACCTGATAATAATAATTATTAATATATTGCTTTTTTTTTTAATTCTTTGTTGAAATTTTTTTTGTAAACATAATCTTTTGAACATAATGTAAGGTCAAGGGTCAGACATCATTGTGAAGTAACTTCCTTTACCTGTGTTTAAATAGTCATACTGTACAGTAGATGTGATGACGTATGTATATTCAGTGAATATTGCTATATTCAATTTTATTTGTTTATTTTTCATTAATACCATGATTTATTTATTGGCTTACATTTATATTTTACTACAGTATAGCTAATAAAATATAATCAAATTTAATATATCTTTTTTTCTAATAATTCAATTCTGAGTCCACTTCTTGAATATTACCTCTGATTTGATGGGTTTTTATGCTCTGTTTAATAATTTAAATTGATTCCTTGTTTTGCCTTTCCTACGTCGGTTTATTGTCGGTTCCATGGATGGTCTTCTGGATATGTGGCAAACTAATTGATTCTTTGCTAAAAATAAATTGATTTTTTATATACCGTATATTATTAATTAACTATTATAATTTATTTATTTGTTCGTATTTGTATGATGTAATTTTTGCCTGAACGTTGGTTGGCTTTTGTGATATTTTTACCTGCTGTGTGATAAGCTGAGTACTATTAGTTGGTAGGCTTTCTAATAGTTTAATGCATTACATTATGCCAATGCTTCAATTCTATCGTTATTGATTAAGTATTGACTGTGCATATATTGCCTGCAAGATGGCCAGATATAATGCTATTACTGTTAAATATGCGTCTTGGTGTTGAGTTTAGCATGAACTGTAGCGCAAATTTGGTTCAATTTGTAGTTCTTTGGTTGTTATATTGATTTTTTTTATTTGATTATGATTATTCCTTGTTATGGTGTGGGATATTTTAAAATGGTATTTTAGTGAGTAAGATCAGGGGAAGACTGTCTAAAAAATCCACTATAAATTTTGTGTGGACTTATATTTCAGTGGCAGATCTAGGAATTCAAGATAGAGGGGTCCAGGGAAGGACATTCACAGATAGGGGTCAATACCACCTAAGCCCCACCATGGTTGGTACAAAAAATTATGATTATGGCACCTCTAGTGTAGATGTTTGGAAATATGACTCTCATACTTAAGTGGGATAATTTATCCTTTTTTCCACCATCGTTTTTATAATTTAAATAAATTTAAAGGTGGGGGGGGGGGTGAAGGAAGGGAGTTTGTTCAGTTGGACAATATGTACAATATATCAACAATTCAAGTTTGGATGAAAACATGATAATTGCTTGATTTGGCAGTTTTTAAAATGCATATTTTCAGTTATTGGTGGTGATATTATATAACATCATTTGTATGCCCCATTTTCAGTTTGCAGTCCCTTTTCACACAGACTATTGTCGGGTGTGTACTGTATTGTTAGGCATTTGAAAAAACCTTTCAGCAGGCCATGATGCAAGTGTTAAGTGGTAAACACCTATGCCAATGCAAATTTAGAAGGTGGTTTGGCTCAGCAGTTTCCGTTCTTGTTTTTGAACTTGTGGTCAGGAGTTCAAACCACACGCCGACCAATCTTGGCTGGCCATGCTTAGGGCCTGTTTCTACTGGAAAGAAAATATCGATTAAAAATCGCTTTTTCAATAAATTGCTTTTTTTCTCACAGTAGAAACAGGACCAGTTCGAAAAAAAAAAAATTTGTGTGCACTTTTTAGCTGCAACACAAAAAGTGATTATCAGGTAAAATGTGACCTCCACCTCAAGCCACTGCAGAAAGCAATCGCCTTCTTGCCGCACACCGTATTCTCTCATCGTCATCATGACCGGAATCCATGTGAAGTACTGTATGTTGTACTTACACAGTTTGGAAAACATGTTGTATAAACAAAATAGTGTCGAAATTTCCACCACGAAAACCAATTTTCGCGGGCAGGCTGTCTAGTACTCAATGAAAAAGGCTTTAAAAAAACCAATTATTTTGTGTTTATAAACATACCCTTACTTCTGTCTCTTATACACATCTAGATGTGTATCAGGTAAACTTCCTGTGCTGTTCGCACTGGACTAATTATGGTAAAACTAGCCAACGTGTTGGTTAGTTTTACCAAAAAAAGTCCAGTGCGATTGTGGCTATAGTTAACAAATTATGCATCTCAAAATGGCTTTGGCTCTTGACAAAGTGTGATACATAGGTACCAAGAAGAGTCCGAGAGTCTCCCAAAAATAGGTAAGGTCTTATGCAAATCCGCATGAAAGTAAAAATTTCCCTTATTCACAACAAATTCATGATGTTTACATATTTATTTACTACTGTTAAATAGCAATACTCCAAATCAACTGGTCATAGGTAATCACCATGCAGAGCACAGTAGATTTAGTTGCATTAAACGAAAGCTCATTTAACAGGAAAGTGGTTTCTCTCCGTTTAGAAATATTAAATATAATAATTTTAACATTTCACATTATAGGACTAAGCCTTTTGCTTACATTTGTTATTTTAAATTTTTTTTCCCCCAATAAAATAATAAGTATTGCTGATATAATATTACTTTCTTATTTGTGCTCATGAAATTGGTGTAATTGCTTATAAAATGTCCCTTTAATTCATCTATGAAATACATATAATATAGCAAACGTATTTGCTTATTTCATACACATAAAGATAAACACCTTTGAAGTATTAAATATGACCTGGTACTCAATTGAACTAATGAATATTCATAACCTATTACTGCACTTCAATTGGTCGTTAGCTAGCCAATTTATTGTTCAAATTTAAACATTGGAAGCGCCATTCTGAATGGTCTGGCTGTGATTGTTGTGACATGTGGTATATTGTTTACCTTTCCTGTGTTTTGTCTGCATCTTTTCAGAGTTCACGCTGTTCTTATTATATTTTGTATCCTTGTTTATACTCTTCCTGACCCAGTGCCTTTGTTTCCGTTTTTTATCCTGGTTCATTCATGCATGCGCCTTGTGTATGAACTGCCTTTTGGAAAACTGTGTTTTCATTCAGTTGCGCTTCTCATGCCAATAAAGCAACTCGGACATAATTTGAGTAGAAGATGTAAACTGGAACGTTAAATTGGAACATATATTCTTCTGTTGGTGATGTTTTTAGGCTGCTTGGTCCTATGACGTGGGTTGTAATAACGGGAACCATGGCAGAGATGGATCAAAGGTGGGTGCGTGTCACAGGACTAGTGCTGTCTGCCTAACTATTGATTCAAGCTTGATATTAATCTAGCATTTGGCAATCCAAGGCCATATTCTTATCTATAAATTTGATAGATGCCTAGGCTACGCCAGCAAAGTATAGTAAAACATACAGTTTTACCAGCTTTCTAGGTCGACCACTTTGATAACTTCCCTTCACTACAGTTATACTCCTATTGATTAGGCAGTTAGATGGAGTGACATAAAGGTAGGTTTAGATTGAAGTGTTGTCGATAAATTCTTTGTTTGAGTGGCATTCCATTATTTATGAATGACTGATTAAATTATTATATGTAAGTGACTTGCAATTCTACAACATTTGCTTCAAATTTAACACGCATTTTATAGCACTGTACAGCGTTAATTTTTAAATAGTTTTCTTCTTGTGAATATTATGCAGTATGAATATAAATAAGTATTGAGTGTAGGTACTAGTCATGTTCTTTGTGCATTTTTAAAAGTACGATTCGTCATGTATCCTCAGAGCCACCTCTTAATAGGTACTACTTTTCAACCTGTATAACTTGCTCTTAGTTCAGTGGTGTATCTAGAAGTCTTGAAATGTGGGGAGGGGATC